ACATATTAAAATAATATTATAATGATACCTACTTAATTCAACGTCGATGCAAACCTGATCCGACATCAAAAATGCTTTAGCAAAGTAATAAACGGAATTGGTTATTTTAAGCATTGTTACGAAGTTTGTGAAGTTTGTCATCTAAAAATAGACACGGATCAAAGGCTTCATTAGTCGGATTGGGGGTCACAACCATAAAATCTGGCGAATCATCAGGCAATAATGCGACGGATAATTTGTAATTTTCGTGTTATTTTATGATCAAATCGCAATGTGACCCCCATTTTTAACCGTTAAAGTGCATGTTTTAGAATACAATAAAGAAAATTGTTATTTCACTTAAATACCGTACCCCGCTATGAGAATGGATGTACATACATATTAGCAAACGATGATTCTATGCATGTATACAATTACTGTTGCAGTTGGTATCAACAAATTTTCGTTGGTAGAACTGTCGCACCACTTTACTTCCGGGTGTCAAAATTTGACACTGTTATAACCTAACTTTCGTCTCGTAAAAGTGATATGGCGCCCAGCGCTGTATTTTAGACGATTGAAAGCGACTCCAAATTAAAATGGGATGCGTCTTGTAGTTATTACACAAAATTAATAACATTGCTTAATAAAAAATTTAGTCACGCGTTTCGAAAATTATTCTGAAGACTACGTTTCTAGCTAATATTCAAAGTTTAATATCGTATAGTATTTTAGTATGCGGACAGCGGACATGTCTCATGTAAACATAAAGTTTTTTCCCTTCAATGGCGTGCGTAAACTTTATGGTGGCGGTCCAAGTGCTTTTGACGAGCTCCAGATTAACATTTCGGTCTCTTTTCATTTTTCATAAGAAAGAAATTAAATTCATTTCACTCACATGAGATTATGAATGTAACACCCGTGGGAGGAATGTACAACGTCCATTAAACATAATATTCAATAGGACTCAAACGGCAGACAAATACAACGCCAGACGCTTTTGTATTGCCTTACGTGAGCCTATAAAGTGTTTAGAGACAATAGAATTCAAAAGGAAAATCAAAACTTTACAGATAAATTAGGTTTTCCATACTTTCCATGATACGATAACATGAACCATGCAGTTCTCTATTTTAAAGTACTGATTTTCAGTTTTTTTAAATAAACTTCATTATCATAATTTTCACTAAGAATATCAGTGCAGTGATAAACCACAAGTGTAGACGCATATTTTGCACACAGAATTTATCTATCAAAATTTTGAGATGACGTCATCAAGTTTTTGGAGGGAGTAAACGTTTGATATCTATGTGATAATCTATATTTCACAGGAGATTATGTGTCTATGAAAATCGCGAACAGCATACGCTTGAGAAGAAAAACAGAAACCAATTAACAGAGTTATTAGCCAACCAACTGAAAAGTAAGATTTGATAGATTGGCTGTACAGCAAGAATTAAATGATCCTTAATCCACCTTTTATATTAAAAATAACATTACTTTCCTGGTAAAAATAACGTCGGATTTATGGGAGTGCAGTTAGAATGGATATTTTTGCATTTTCTGAGCTAGAAGTAAAAACGATGTGAAAATCAATCATCTCAAGAATATTTCGGTTTTTCCAAAAGTTTTCCCATAAAACGAGTTATGCTTGAAAATCTATACCAAAAACGAGAAAATTTATGTATTACAACGTCTGTTTAAAATAGTTTCGGTGTTATTATTGACGTAAATCTTAATTTATCGTTCAACTTTAATAATATTTTATGCACGAGTCTGTTTGGATTAAGGTGCCGCTGTTGGCTATTCAAAATAAGCCTTTTTACTTTAAGGGAATTTTTGTAATAGAATTAGTAATGAATGTCTAATTTCATATTTTCGGGAACGCAGACGCATCCCGTATCCGCCCATCTGTCTGTCTGTCGTGTGTTAACGATTTTATTAGACAGATATTCTCCGAAACTTCGAACCGATGGCTATGAAATTTTATGTAAGGTAAAGTTAGTTTATCATAATGAATTCTAAGAAAATGCAATTTTCAGAATTAATATGACTGTAATCAAATAAGTAATATTCTCAAAAATATAGTGTTACACAAAATATGCAAAACTGAAATTGGCGTCAATCGAATTTAACAGTGTTGTTTTGAAACTACGCTTCAGCAGAATGTACTAAATAGTCAAATTGTGTTACAACTGAGTGTAGACAATTGGTTCTTTTATTGTACTGTTACACGATATTTTTTTGCCTCGCTATTCCCTACGTGTTGTACAACGTAAATACGATTCTTATTTTTAGTGCAAAGAATAGTACTACAAGAATATTCTGTATGTTGTATTTCCACGTTTAATGGATACATTCGCTGTTGATAGAAGTTTCGTCTCGATTAATTTGGTTGCACGTTCGGATCCACCAATCTCCTCTCAACAACTAATTAAGAAATTTCACCAGACCGCTGCAATTTCTCATCAAAACCACCCACAGCTTACGCAAATCATTTAATCGTATCTTGTGATCCAATAAGTCACGTTGTAGATTAACACCATCCTCCGTGAATCAATTTTTCGCGAAAAATTGGCTCCTTTGAAAAACTAACAAAATCTAAATCAAAAAAATGGCCCACAACTTCCTGCTCAACCTTCTTTGTTGGTCGTTCCACCAAAATATCAAACACGTGTACACCGTCTAAACATAACGTTACAATAACATGGGACATCCGTGGAGAAAGTAGTGAGTGTCGCGTAGAAGATGGAATCCCAAGGTTGCGACAGCATCCGGAACAGTATTTTTAAACTTATTGGAAAAAATTACGAAACGGATTAGCGTGTGAGAGTCGTTAATACACTTTCTATTTATTTGATTTGGGCGGTGGAAAACACTGGCGTAAAGCAGCGTGCTTTATGGACGTGTTTGCTCGTAAATTTCGACGTTGATTCATAAACATCGCACATCGCGGATTAAAAGACGGAGTGGACTAAGATGGCGTCATTTCCGGCTCATGCAGCGAGGAGTAACTGTAACAAAGTGTTTCCTTGAAAGGGACGGAAATATTACTCGAAGAAACGTGATGGAGTTGCTTAAAAACGATTTTGCTATTAGCCGTGGAACTTCATCGAGACGAAAAAAATGAGCAATAATTTTGAGTGAACGTTATTTCATTGCGAAAACAGTTATTTTTCTTGCACTCGTACAAATTCGATGAATAAACTAGCAAGGTGCGATTACACCGAACTGTTGTCTAGCGGATCTGCCGGAAATTTAAACACTTTCAAAAACTTTTCACCATTTGCATCAACTGTTCGTTCCGTTTCGGTGACGAAAGTGCAAGAATGCAATGTTGTATTGAAGTGTTCTCTAAAATTTACGACTACCAAGATCCGGGTGGATGTGTCAAATACGTGATTGGTGTATTCGCGCTTTTAAAGTTCCAACTACAATGTATCTAAGAAATATGGAACATTCTTATTAATAAAAATATTAGAACTGCAATTTTTCACAATTCAAAAAAAAAATTGGACTAAGACAGATGTGTTCACTCTGGTAGGTATTGGACGAAGTAGTCAGAAGACGACATATCTTTACATCAAAAATATAAAGGCCGAATATTAAGCAATAAAATTGTTCGTGAGAAAAATATATATATTTACTTATCCCCTCCAAAAAATTGATGACGTCACCTCAAAAGTTTGCCGAATAAATCCTATCTTAAATGGGCAAAGTATGATGAGACAATACTTGTGATTTATCATTCCATTCATATTCTTTGGATTTGCTTATACAGGGTAACTGAAAAAAATTAATGAATGCGTCAATTTATTTTATTGATTTAATCAGGAACTACAAAACCAAATACTTTGAAATTGTTATCATAGGCATGGTAAATTTTTTATCAAAATATATTTACTCATCCTCAACCTAAAAAATTGATCACGCCACCCCACCCCAAAAATTTTTCCGGAAAAATGCTATCTTAAATGTGCAGTGTGCAAAGTATGATGAGTCTATAATTGTCATTTATTAGTGCATAAAATTTTTTTAGATTTGCTTATACGGGGTGTGTGAAAAAAATTAATGACTGAGTCAACTTATTTTATTGATTAAATCAAGAATTGCAAAAAATCTTAAATGTGCAAAGTATGATGAGACAATACTTGTGATTTATCATTCCATTCATATTTTTTGGATTTGCGAATACAGGGTGACTCAAAAAAAATATCATTGTGTATCAGGAGCGAGGAAGTTCTGTTGAAACAAACTTTTGACCAATTTTTTAATCTCTGATGTAGTTTTTCTTGTCCCCACCAAATTACGTAGGTCGCCTTTTAGAACATACAGTTTGCCTTGTGACAATTACGCGTGATAACATAATCTAAACTGTGGTATGTTGTAATTTTTGCAAGTCAAGTTACGACCTACTTTTCGGTTGAATTTGTTTTGTCAACAAATTCTTCGATGACTAGATCAGAAATTAAATAAATCATACACGTTTGTAAATAAACTACATATTTGTAAATCTTCCTTTTCTACTCGCTTATTTTATTATAGTACATTCGCTACTACGTTTATACTCCAATTTTTTGCATTATCTTAGTAACTAACACCGCCCTCTTCCCTATTTTTCCCCATTTTACGGTACTTGCATCTTGCAACACCATCCCAACGGTACCTCCTTCATCAATTTGGCGACAAAACAGTTACCATCATTATCCATCATTACAGAAACCATGTCGGAACAGGAAACTCGCCAGCAACAATACTTTTAAAACGGTCTTCGGCCTAAGAAACGCACTGCTGCGCTCACTAATACAACATTATCAACGGAATCAAGGTTACTCGTTATAATCCATCCAACACAAGATTTGTTTACACCGACAATTATTATAACTATTATTACCGCAGTATTTCCTTCTCCGCTAATAACATAATCACGTTCCAAGTTGTTCCAATTTGTAACGGTGGTCCACTTCTTTGTCCAACGCTACCGCCCCATTGTCACCATTGAATTGGTTCTTTTGTTGCAGAGATTTGAGGCCCCAAAGCGTCGAAAAGAGCCAGGAAAGGTGCAGACTACGACTGTATATGATGTATGCTTGGGGGGTTCCCTTCATCATTGCCGCAACGGCGGCCATTTTGGATTCAGTACCGGATAGCTCTGATTTCCTGAGGCCGAAATTTGGAGTCAACACCTGCTGGTTCTATGGTATGCCATAATAATAAAGCCCATTACATATACGAAAATTATATATACTAAAAGATGATTATAATCCTTGTCGCACCGCGTGAGTTAAAAAAAGTACGAGAGGCCGTTGACGTCCCTCCTTTGACTTTCGTGTGATAAAATGCAGCTGCCAGTTTTATTATGTTATGTGAAATGGTCAGTCAATTCACGGATTTGCCCTGGTCATGGGTCAATTTCGGCAAAAATATTTACCCAAATCAGATCGGTCAAGGTTCGCTATTGATGTCGCCGGTCGTAAATTTAAAATTCATCAAAATAGTGTGTAGTCTTCTGATAAAGAGTTGCCATGCCGTCTACCACTGGCGGTTATGCAAAACAAATATGTTTTTCTTTTATCAGAATAGCGTCACATATGAGATAAAAGCAGTGTAAATAAGTAAATTTAGATTTATCACTCGTGTTGCGAAACACCCTGATGCGAAAATGTCACGCGAATTTTGAAAAGTTAGAATTGTTTATGCACTACTTTTTTCAAAGCACAAACTTCAAATTTTTAGGCTGCAGTGAAAGAGTGTTAATAATTATAATAAAATAAATGTTATGTATATTGTGGTCAGGGATGGTTACAATGAAACATAAAAAAATTATGATCCAATTAAAAAAAGAACGTAAATTTTGCCACGGTATCACCATCTTTACCACGGTGTTTTGTGTATGTCTAGTGTTTTGTATTACATAACAAGACTTTAAGTTTCTAATGTAGATATTTTGAAACATTGTTATTATTAAAAATAGTGGTGATTAGGAACACGCCATCGACCTAGTTATACAATGATCGTGCAAAAAGGTGTGTAGCAGAATGTAGTAGTTTTTAAAGTGGATTAGTCAAGGTTTTGACAACCTACCCAAAAAAACCGGCAAATTGTTAAGTACCAACGTAGCCAAAAAATATATTTGTGTAATTATTCTCATATATCATGTCCAAATATCATTACTTGTTTATTCGAAATCATCAGAATCCACCTGTTTCACTCACAAACATCAATAATGTATTTTCCATGAGAACTGTAAACATTTTTCATCATTATCAAAAGATGTAATTAGGTTTAATTACTCTGTTATCTCGTTGGCTGTTTGTGCCATTTTTAGATATAGGGGAAGTAAAAAAAAAAGGTTTTTAGAAGGTTCAAAGGTTATTAAAGACACATTTCATAAAGAAATACTAGCAGATGGATGTACATTCTGATGATTTCGGATGAACGAGTAATGATATTTAGACATGATAAAAGAAATGATGTTGATATAACGATACATATGAGAATAATTACACAAAGATATTTTTGGTTATGTAGATATAAATAAATATAAAAATATTAGTGCTATACAATTTTCGTCTAGAAATTTAAAATCTTTTTAAAACCAAATTCGAATTCCACTGTATACTTGCAAAAATTATCCTTGGAGTTCTGTTCATTTAAGGGAATTTTTGGAACTGCTTTGCTTTTACTGGAATTCTTTGAAATCAGCTAGAGTTGTTTCGAGATTCGCTGGAATTATTATTATATGTTTGCTTAAATGTTTGGGATTTACGTAGAAGTCTTCTTATTTAAAATTTATCAGAATCTAAAAAATTGCCGGAACTAATCTGAATTGAAACTGTATTACTGGTGGCTGGGGAATTGCTACTTGGCTCTTAGCTCGTGGGAATTTTCATTATCGAATTCCTGTAGAACACACTTTGATGAATTACTTTTGCAAATTACCTCAATTTAGTGGAATTTTTGGAACCATTTTCTGTAAACTGGAAAAGTTAAAGGAATTCATTATGAAGAACTGTAACTAATTGGAATTGAAATTATGTTGTAAGCAAATTTGGAAGCTCCTGAGGTTGTTACTACGTCATACAATAATCCGTTTTGATATATGTAATTACTTTGAAATATCGAATTATGAAATTTTTCAACTGCACTTGTGGCAATATTTTAAATGTTTTGTAAATTTGCCAAAATTGATTTGATTTTATCTTTGGAATTACGACTATATTTGTAATTTACTGAATTATAGTAAATTATTTTGCAACTATTGGGAAATGGAAATATATGATATCGAGTTTTCAAATGTATTCCTGTCAATTTTTTGACATTTTGTGCGTTCCTGTTAAGAGTAAAATTGTATTGGGTGTTTTCATGAAGTCTCTGATCTCATAAAGCTGATTTATTAATCTCCAACATGAATCCAACTGCCTGTAAATACCATATTCATTGTTGAATCACCGATATAGTGTAATACAGCACCAGTAAAAAATATTACAGTTTGATAAGTAACGTTTCCGGAGCGAGCGAATTCAGCGAATCCATTTTCCCATTGATCGCACAAAAATAAAAATATGCTTTTTCATATTTGCCATACTGTTTAGAAATAAATGAGGTTATCAAATAAACTGAATGGCTCCCGATGCTCACATAAATTCATAATTCTAGCAGAAATTTACGCATTCGAACGATTTATTTCTGCAATCTCCTCCTATAAATCACAGAATTTAACAGAAAATCGTTTCGTCGAAAGAAACATCGAAATAAATCATGATCTATCAGTATAATTTCAATAATAAAACAATCATGAAATCGTAAACTAACGTTTCTCAAGCTTCATTATTATATCATCAGTATTGCGATCGTAGCAATTATCGCAGAATCAGAGGAATGACAGTGAATGGAGTGACCGTGAACGTCGAGAATAACAATAACACAACGGTAATTTATACCAAAAGGGCATCGTAAAGATCATAGGAGATTGCCGCCCCTCTCGAACTCCACCAAAACTATTACAATTATCATTTCGTTGCATTAAAAATCGAATTCCTCCGCGTCCCATCTTCATTCCGCCCACCAAAACAAGGCCAAACTATGCGGAAACTTCCTAACATTCTTTTTCAACATCGCGATATTAAAATGAACGAGACGTGGGTTTTGGATGATTCACACGATTTATTAAACCCATCAAAAGCGTGGGCGGCACCGTAACAATACCAGCCAAATTCGCTCTTTTGTCCCCCAATTGTCACCATTAACCGCGTGAAAGAATGAAAAGAAAGTTGTTTTGTCCCAACCGAGGTCATTCAAGGCTGTTTGTTTTCAGGCAAGATGGAGATTTTGACGTTCTTCTACGGGCCCATAGGTGTCCTACTTATGGTGAATTTGGCCCTTTTTGCCCTTACAGCGAGGGAACTGACTTGCGGATTATGGAAACGAGAGCTGGTCAAGTCTACGTCGGAACGGTAAGAATGCGTGGTTTTTGCGGTTGTGGAAATTGTCCTAGTTGAGAGACCGGTCGGAGGCGGCATTCTTGAGATGCATTCAAGGACGGGTGTTGACCGGGAGTTAAGTGTGTGATGGATGGGGTTTGTAAATCATGCTGTGGCTAAGTAGCCGTTAAGTCATTTACTTTTGCTAATTGGTAGTAAATGTCTGCTATTTGCAGAACCACCGAAATCATTTGGGGGCCCCTTAAGTTCGATAATTATTGTTATGTTGTGCTAAAACTTATCCCACACGCAAGTGCCGCCATATTTTGGTTTCTCGTTAACAACTGAAACCATTTTCTAAGAAATAAAGCAAAAAGTGGAACGAACCCAACCCACACGTACAAACATTTAAAATGTGTGATTTATGCAACCAACAATACACTGAAATTGTATTCGTTTGCAGGGCTGCTCTAGGTCGTGTCTGTATGAAGTTGGTCGTGGTAATGGGGGTTAGTTGGATAGCAGACGTCCTTTCATGGGCGGTTGGTGGTCCTCAGGAACTCTGGTATTTGACCGATTTGATAAATTGCCTTCAAGGTCTTTTCATTTTTATAGTGGTGGGCTGCCAACCTCAGGTAATTAAACAAACTTAAATTTTTTTCTTTACTAAAATCACATTTCTAGGTTTTATCAGCAGCAAAAAGGCTTTGGTGTTCTCGTATGCATAGAGCTAATGGGACTGCTGGTACGACCAACCATCAGTCTTATAGTTCACAAGGTTTACCATCCATGGGTGACACGGTAACTAATCACAGTGTTACCAACAACACCAAATCGGTTCCATTGGAGACTAGCTGTTAATGGGTGATATGTCTTAGCGACAATGTAAAGAAATTTATTTTTATACGTGGATTAAACTAGTCAAGTTTTGAAAATTTGGACGTAGATAGAATCATTCCGTTGTGTTCTTTTTATTTATGACTGATTTTTGTGTATTTATCTTGTGACGAAGTTAGAATTAGTTCCTTATTTATGTTGTTGTTAACTTAAGCGTTGTAAATATGTCTTTCTCACTATAGGTTAAGATTGAGTTTTATGTTTTAACGACGCCCAGTATTACGGTAGTTTGTTTTTAAGACTATCCTGTTTTTTGTGTACAAATTTTTTAAGTTTTTGTATAAATATGTAAAAGTCAAATGCCGTGTTTTATTGACAATCTCAAGCTCAAAAACCCATTGCTCAGTATCGTCGTTTTATTGGCTAAGACTCCAGTCAAGTGAAAAACATTTTCATAATTTAATGATTGAAGAAATATTCCATTGTTTATATTACAAGATTTAATACAATAATAATCTTTGGTATTATGTACAAAACCTATCAAACTAACAGGTGTATAATAAAATAAGAATGTGAAAAAAATCACATTATCGCAATAGGAATACTTAATTTTATGAAAACAACAAAGACGAGTAGGAACCACGTCGTGGTAGTCTGCAATGTGATTGGTCAATCGAACTTAGGCGGAACTCGGTACGTCATCCAATCAAACTACTACACACACCTGCGCAATTCCTACCATCGCGCATCCACCGCTCGCCGGAAAATCACTGCTCCTATTGAAAAGCTCACTGAAGCATAATAATCGAGCTGCCTCTTGAATAAATACATCTTCCTTTGAGTACATTAAAGCTAAACGTGATGCAGTGTTACGACTAGTAATCTTAAGCAACTTTAGAAAACCACGACCCTCACTCTTCCAACGAGCGGTGCATTACAATAATTTACCCAAATACTTACAAAGGATCTCGTCTTTTTCAGAAAACTGATTGTCCTTTAAGGCCTTTTTGACACAAATTAATAAATTTATCACAATGTCTGAGATCCCCTTAAATAACATAACCTACTTTAAATAGCTGTCCCCAAAATTAGCACGCTTTATTAGTTTTCGCATTGAACGTCTTATTCTCAAACTTCTTCTGCAGCGACGCCACATTCGACGACGACCTCGCCGCGTTCTTCACCCCCGAAGGCACACTTTTCGACGCAACACCGCCTTCGGTACTTTTCGTTACGCTACTCGTATCCGAATTACTTTTACTCACATTCGTCCCTTTCCGCTCACCCGGTTTGTTAAAACTAACCGTCTTACCCCTCCCCGGCCCTTTCGGCAAACCGCCTACGTTCGGTTTAACCGTTGCGATGGTGGGTTTCTTCGCCACGCCCCCGTTAACCAAGTCCGGCCCCTTCGTTCCCGGTTTCGAGTTGCAGCTCGTCACGAGGTCAGGACTGTTGGATACGGGGCGTGTCTTCGGGGCTGAAGGGGCGGATCTCGTGGGAGAAGGCTTACGCGTGCGCAGGTTAGGGGGCGTGACCTGACGATTCACGGATTTGGGGGCTTTCGATGCCGTTTTGGTGGGAGTTGGACTTCGCGATTTCACAGTGGAGGGAGCTTCTTTGAATGTGGACAGTTTGGGCTCGGGCGGTTTAACCGGTTCGGGTGGTTTGACCGGTACGTTGACGGACGATGGGTGGATGTAACCGCTAGAGGTGGAGCTAGCGCTGGATTTGATGTTGTTCATGTTGCTGTAGACGCTTTCGGGGGCTTTGTAAAGGGATGAAGTGTTGACGTAGGTGTCGGAATCTAGGGCTTTCAATCTGGCTTCTTCTTCTTCTTTTTGCTTTCTGGCGAGGGTGGAGGTGGAGTAGATAGAGTCGAAGTTGCGGTTTTGAATTTCGGAGACTATTTCTCCGAGGAGACCCATGCTGTCGCTTGAGCTGGAACTGGCTTTCGTTTTGTCTTCGACGGAGTTGACGCTATCTGGTGGTGAGAGTGGGGATTCTTCAATAACAGCGTAGATGTTGTCGTTACTTAATTCTTCATTTAGTTTACCTAGAGGAGCTGCTTTATTTAAACAGTCGTCATATTGGTTTTGGGATGTTTTATTAGCTACCGGTTTCTGGTAGCCTGGTAAACTTGGAATTTGCAATTTTTTGTCGATTTCTAAAATAGGGGGCGCTGGAGGCGGCGGACTCTTAGGTCTACTACCCGACGGTATACTCAGCGGTCGTTTAGTACCTCCAGGTTGTCTCATCGACCCGAAGGTCTGTATATGTGGTCTCGGTGTGACACTCGTACCCCTCATACTCTGCGCTCTCATCACCACAGCTTTGTTCTCCTCTCCAGGCACCTTCACCGTACTACTTTCCGTCTGCAGAATAGGGTTCGAAATTTCGATTGACCTCAACGCATTTTTATCCAAAATTTTACTAGCTTTCCTCGGCAGTGTACTAGAATTGACATTATTAACAGTACTACCACTAGTGGGCGGTTTTTTCAAAAACGACGCAATTCGATTCAACGTGGTCCCACTTTTCTTTCCCTCATCCGAAACTATCGAATCGGGCGTCGACAAAGGTCTCTGAGCAGGCGGAGCCTCAGGCGCCGCCCTCATCGGAACCTTCGGGGCGTTCCTCAACGGCGAAATCAACTCCTTTGCCGTGCACGTCGAATTCTCCAAAATCGGTGACGAAATGATAGGCTTGGCCGTACTTCCCGGATTGGGAGGAGGCAAGGCTGGTCCACTATTGTTCCCGCCTCCCGTCAACGCCTGCTTGAACGACTGCGCCCTCGATACCGACTTGTTCAAGAAGTTCTTCCCGGATTCGGACCGCTTGAACGACGGGGTGGTGGACGGGATGACGATGGGAGGCGGCGGAGCGGCTCGTGACGGTTCCGTTTCCACCTTCTTGGCGGGCATGAGCGAAAAGCCTTTGAAGTGGCCGAAGAACTCGTGCTGCAGCGACGCATTGGACGTTTCGTTTTGGAGGAGAGAATGATTGTCTTCCGTGCGCTTGGCGGAGTCGGGGGCGAAGGGGGCGCTGCGAGATTTCGAAGGCGACTTGATCCTAGACAGGTGGGAAAAAGCGATGTAAACCACGTGTTCGGATTCTTGTTAGTCGACACAAGTTGACGAGGAGGAGGAGGCGGTGGCGGTTATTGTGTAAGCGAGAAGCGAGGAAGAGTAGTAAAAAATTAAAGTAACAAAAAAAAGACTAAAATATATTTGGGGTAAGACATAGATATGTAGAAAGTTAATACAAAGAAACATGCATGTAACAAAATCACAAATAGAAGTATCAACATAAAAACTACAGACTTTGGTTTAAACACACAACAAATGAGTGATTGTTGATAGCAGAACTTACTCTAGGGTGAATCTGGCGAAATATTAAACTGTTGAATCGATACAGGATGTTTATAGGAACTGTTGCTTAAGAATGTAATGAATTTGCAACGGATGTTGCTATGGCAGTACCTGAATCACTTCCGTGGTGCCGTGACCAGGATTAGGTATGCAGAGCATATAGATTTCCTGGCCAACTGTAACTCTAATAACGATATCCTGTATCCATTCAAGTACTCCCCAATGTGATAAATAATTTCAAAAATTTACGCATTTTCTGACGGTTTGTTGAACTTTTTCGCCAAATCCTTCACGCTGACCACCATCACGGGACTTTTGTCGAAACAAACAGTCTCTGTGGTAGCTGGAGTTTCGCAATCTACTCGACTTGATCCACACTCTTTGTTCTTGGTCCTCAAACTCGTATTCAGTTTGAGGCCCTTAATGTTTTTCAAAGACAACCGCCTAACACCACCACTTTCCCTATTAGTATTCTTTGTTATTGTGTTACTTCTAGTAATAACGTCATTATTTGTCGTAGAAATCAAACCTGTTTGTTTGATTTCCATGTTTCTAAGATTGTTCGATCGGTTATTAACACTTTCCGACACTGTGCGGATGGAAGAATTGTTGGACAAGGAACTACCACCACGACATGCAGAAAAAACATGCTGAAAACTGGAAAAAAGACACTCTTTTACGTACGTTGGCGCCGGCGATTTGGTCGAACGGAAATGAAGGACGTTGTGCTTGACGTAGTAAGTCAAGAACGCCAACAGCACCAGCGCCGGGATGATACCCAGGAAGATGACGAAGAGTGCCGTCACGAACTCCTTGCGAGCTGAAAAGAACACTACAAATCAAAATTTTAACAAAAAAAATGAAGTGAAAATCATGTTATTATCATTATTATTATTACTACTAGTACTAAAAACAAAGAAACTGATGATTTACCCTCTGGATCCGAAGCGGGGCCGCTATCCTCCGATCCTCCCGGACCCGGGTCTTCGCAATATGGCGGCGCGTAGCCATCTTTGCAGTGGCAATGACCCAAGTTGTTACACCAGCCGTTGTTGTTGCAGTCTTGGGGGCAGGTGCGAGCCGCTAATTGCAAACTTGCCACGGACATACATCTTTGATTGACGCACATCTGGAACGAAAAGGTACAGGTGCTGTCTACCAAATTCTGTGCATTACTTTGCCGTCGCCGCACTTAGCACCGTCTGGCGCCAAACCTGGGTCCACCTGGTTTATGCCCAAATCAACGATAGCGGTCCTGCAAGCCACGATCGATCCTTTCAAGTTCAAAAAACTGTGGGAGAGAATGGACACCGATTCCATTCCAAATTCGAGGCGCTCGTTTAAGTGTTTACAGTGAAGCATACCGCAGAGGACATTCCTATTAAAAAGAAAGTAAATTAGTACCTGTGCGTGCGTGTTGTGTCATTTGTGGTGATTCACTCTAGGTACTTAGTTTTTTAATGACTTACTCATCGTTGCATTTAAAAAACGACTGGTTGAATTTATTATAACCGCAGTTTCCATGACGGTTTCCTTTGACGTTCATCTTGTAACATTGCTCGTCGCTGGATTTGCCCGTTTCGCCCCACAAAAGTTTACACTGGTCGGTTCTGGTCCGGCAAAACCCATGATAACAAAACGCCTTGCCGTCATCGCAAACTTCGGTGTCCATTTTGTAAATATCGGCAGGGCAGTACTCACTTTGCCCAGTGCAATACTCTGGTAGGTCGCATTCGTAGTCCGCCGAACGGCATAAAGTACCAGCAGTCTTCGGCTTACACGTCTAGAAATAAAATAAATATATAAATAAAAAAAATACGTCCTTTTCTAGCAAACAAACTACCGCTGATATATATCCCATTGCACACTCCTTAAGTCCTATTAATAACTGACTTTAACCACGATTCTTTACTTCTGGGAATGTACTTTCCTTTATTTTATGATCCTTCGAGCCGGATTGGTATTTAATCAATTCAAAGAAGAAGAATTTCGATGAAGATTTGGAATAATAAAGATGCTACGCGCGATTGCTAACAAGCAACATTGCTAGATATCACTGAATGGAATTCAGTGGAGCAACAGATTGCAACAGAACTTCATAAATTCAAATGCAGAAAATTGTAACCGTGGAAGGTTGTCCATATACCCATGACCCAGACATCAAGAACTACATTTAAAAACGAGCAACAAATTTTTGATGCAGATTTATGTGAAGCTTTGATTGCGAAAACATATCTTTGAGAAAATGAAATAATCCTGCATTCAAAATATTTTTGGAAAGAAAAAAATAACATATCTGGTAGTTATAAAGATACTTTACATTGTATTAATTGGATGATTAGTTTGTAGTAGATGAAAGTACTGATTCTTGTGGACGTTACATTGCAAATTTATTGATACTATGCGTGAGAATAAGCCTAGTCAATCTGAATATTCTTCGCATTACTTGTCTGGCTCATTTAAGGTTCCCTAATGATAATTTCTTAATTAGCAACGTTAAAAAAATATTTTTCAAATGTTTCAATTGTAACTGTAACTAGGTTCGGGGTACTTGGTTGGAAGCAGTGACTTTTAATGCTGAAAATTTTCATTCAAATAGACCTCAATTTAAAATTTGATAGGGCTGACAGTTTTGCCATTGACAAATGCCAAGATATTTTGCAAGATTTCAGTCAGATACATGTATAAATCAGATATTTTTCGAATCTAGGTCGCACTTTTTTGCAACTTTATTCCCTCCAAAAATTGGGTGCGGCGTGCATTCAAAGAATTTTATCCTCAAATCTACGTGCTAAATTAAACAAATTCCTTTTGCGATCAACTGCAATAATCAGTAAAAGCTACTTCTATTTCCGCCTTTTTTGCATGTTTCAACCAAGTGCAGCGTTTGAAGGCAAAAATACGGAAGTAAATCGCGAATCTGTTAAAAGTTCATGGAAATAAAAAACGCAGAAACACTTTCAACTGGTTTTGGAACTTATTTAAAGCTTTAGAAACAAAACAAACACAAAATTTCATAAATTTATGGAGTTATTTATTATATTTGTTTTTATTTAGACGTATCGCTGCTGTTCAAAAGTATAATTTAAGCGGCTACTGTACTCCAATTTCATTGTTTATACGTACTAACTCCTATCCAGGATGTCAATTATGGTTTCAAAAATAATTCACTACAATGCTAGTATGAACAGGAAAGTTATATATCTACAGGGTGACTTATGCACGGGCGTGGATGGGACCTGTTAAATCAGCGCAACAAAAATTTAGTGCTTGAAATAACGAAATTTTATTTGAATTAAAAGTATATTAAATCTGGATTCGGGCACCAGCGTTCTGGTGAACTACTGCTTCTGGCGCCTGTAGAAAATTCCCAAGTTCCAGATGGTCCCATACCTCTGCCCATGAGGCCTTTTTTTTTGAAGTACATAATTTGAAAGAATCTCAGGGACCCCTTGTACCTATTTTTAGAAGAACATAGTTTGAAAGAATCTCGGGGACCCCTTGTGTTTTGCTTTTGAAATAGTTCGAAAGAATCTTGCGGACTCCTTGTGGACCTTGTTTTTGAATTAATTTGAAAGAACCCCGAGGAGCCCGTGTCTGCTTTTTGAAGTATATATTTTGAAAGAACCTCGGGGACTATTTGTCTAGTTTTTGAAGTAGTTTGAAAGAATTTTTGGGATCCCTCGTTTTGTTTTTGAAATAGTTTGAAAGAGTCGTGCGGACTGCCTGTGGGCCTTGTTTTTTAACTAATTTAAACAAATCTTGGGGACCACTTGGGTTTTATTTTTGAAGTAGTTTGAAAGAATCTCGGGGATCTTTTGTGTTTAGTTTTTGAAGTACATAGTTTGAAAGAATCTCGAGGACCCCTGTGTTCTGTTTTTGAAATAGTTCGAAAGAATCTTGCGGACCCCCTGTGGGCCTTGTTTTTGAATTACTTTGAAAGAATCTTGGGGACCACCTGGGTTTTATTTTTGAAGTAGTTTAAAAGAATCTAGGGGACCTTTTGTCTCTAGTTTTCGAAGTATGTAGTTTGAAAAAATCTTTGGGAGCTCTTGTCTTGTTTCTGAAGTAGTTTGAAAGAATCTTTGGGATCTCTCGTTTTGTTTTTGAAATAGTTTGAAAGAATGTTGCGGACCCCCGTGGGCCTTGTTTTTTAACTAATTTAAAAGAATCTCGGGGACCTTTTGTGTCTAGTTTTTGGAGTATATAGTTTGAAAAAATCTCCAGGGCTCCCTTTTTTTGCTTTTGAAGTATGTAGTTTAAAAGAATCTTTGGGATCTTTTGTCTTGTTTTTGAATTAATTTGAAAGAATCTCGAGGACCCTTTGTGTTTTGCTTTTAAAATAGTTTGAATGAATTTTGCGGACCCGTTGTGGACCTTGTTTTTGAACTAATTTGGAAGAATCTTGGGGACCACTTTGGTTTTATTTTTTAAGTAGTTTGAAGGAATCTCGGGGACCTTTTGTGTTTAGTTTTTGAAATACGTAGTTTCAAAACACTCCAGAATCTCTTTTTTTGTATTTGAAGTATGTAAATAGTTTGAAAGAATCTTTAGGATCCCTTGTCTTGTTTTTGAATTAATTTGAAAGAATTTCGAGAACCCCTGTGTTTTGTTTTTGAAATAGTTCGAAAGAATCTTGCGGACCACCTGTGGGCCTTGTTTTTGAACTACTTTGAAACAATCTTGGGGACCCCTTAGGTTTTATTTTTGAAATAGTTTGAAAGAATCTCGGGGACCTTTTGTGTCTAGTTTTTAATGTACGTAGTTTCAAAAAAATTCCAGGATCCTTTTTTTTTGTATTTGAAGTATGTAGTTTGAAAGAATCTCGAGGACCCCTTGTGTTTTGCTTTTGAAATAGTTCGAAAGAATCTTGCGGACTCCTTGTGGACCTTGTTTTTGAATTAATTTGAAAGAATCCCGAGAAGCCCGTGTCTGCTTTTTGAAGTATATATTTTGAAAGAACCTCGGGGACTATTTGTCTAGTTTTTGAAGTAGTTTGAAAGAATTTTTGGGATCTCTCGTTTTGTTTTTGAAATAGTTTGAAAGAGTCGTACGGACTGCCTGTGGGCCTTGTTTTTTAACTAATTTGAACAAATCTTGGGGACCACTTGGGTTTTATTTTTGAAGTAGTTTGAAAGAATCTCGGGGATCTTTTGTGTTTAGTTTTTGAAGTACATAGTTTGAAAGAATCTCGAGGACCCCTGTGTTCTGTTTTTGAAATAGTTCGAAAGAATCTTGCGGATCCCCTGTGGGCCTTGTTTTTGAATTACTTTGAAAGAATCCTGGGGACCACCTGTAGTTTTTTAACTAATTTGAAAGAATCTCGGGAACCTTTTGTGTCTAGTTTTCGAAATACGTAGTTTCAAAAAACTCCAGAATCTCTTTTTTGTATTTGAAGTATGTACATAGTTTGAAAGAATCTTTAGGATCCCTTGTCTTGTTTTTGAATTAATTTGAAAGAATCTCGAGGACCCCTGTGTTTTGTTTTTCAAATAATTCGAAAAAATCTCGCGGACCACCTGTGGGCCTTGTTTTTGAACTACTTTGAAACAATCTTGGGGACCACTTGGGTTTTATTTTTTAAATAATTTAAAAGAATCTAGGGGACCTTTTGTGTCTAGTTTTCGAAGTATATACATAGTTTGAAAAAGTCTCCAGGACCCGCTTATTTGTTTTTGAAGTATGTAGTTTGAAAGAATCTGGGATCTTTTGTCTTGTTTTTGAATTAATTTGAAAGAATCTCGAGGACCCTTTGTGTTTTGCTTTTGAAATAGTTTGAAAGAATCTCGGGTCCCCTGTCTGCTTTTTGAAGTATTTTGAAAGAGCCTCGGGGACATTGTGTCTAGTTTTTGAAGTAGTTTGAAAGAATCTTTAGGATCGCTTGTTTTGTTTAGTTTATGAAATAGTTTGAAAGAATCTTGCGGACCCCCTGTGGGCCTTTATTTTTAACTAATTTGAAAGAATCTTGGAGATCCCTTGTCTAGTTTTTGAATTAATTTGAAAGAATCATGGGGACACTTTGTTTTGTTTTTGAAATAGTTTGAAAGAATTTCAGAGTTCCGTGATCAGGGGCGAATGGGACTTGCTAAACTTGAGCCGGAAAAATTTAGACCGGCGCCTAAAAAGCCGAAAATTGACTTCATTTAAAAGTATATAAAATTTGGATTCGCGCATCGGAACTTTGGTGTACCACGGCCACTGGTGTCTCTGGAAAATTGTAAGAATCTCGGGCACCTCATGTGTTTTATTTTTGAAGTAGTTTGAAAGAATCTTACGAACCGCCCGTGTGGGCCTTATTTTCGACCTAATTTGAAAGAATCTCGGGGACCCCTTTTGTTTTGTTTTTGAAGTAATTTGAAAGAATCTCGAAGACCGCTTGTGTTTTGTTTTTGAAGCAGTTTGAAAGAATCTCGGAGATTCTTTGTCTTGTAATTTGAGAGAATCTCGAAAACCCCATCTGTTCTGTTTTTGAAGTTGTTTGAAAGAATTTCGGAGTCCCATACTCAGAGGCGAAAGATATTTGTTGAACCAGCGTGGGAAACATTTAGACCGGGGCCTAAGGTCTAAATTTTACTTCATTGATTAAAGGTATATAAAATTTGGATTTGGGCACCGGCGCTCAAGTGTACCACGGCTACTATCATCGCCTCTGGAATATTTCAGATTTCCAAATGGTCCCATCCGTCCCTATTTACAACTAATAATGAAGCCGATGCAATAATAGGGAACGCAACCCAGAATACATTTTCACGGCATTCGTACCCGTATTTATTAATTTATGGAAAACATAATAACAATTCCTACTCACCGCCAAATCGCAGCATTCCCCTGTTGCACAACTCGCATTTCCATACAGCATGCAAGTCGTGGCATTGCAGCAAGTGTTGTCGCAATGCTCCGGCAAACCGCAGTCGCATTGTTCCCCGGGTTCGACGAACCCGTTTCCGCAAACCGGGCTGTCGAACAACGCCGCCGGCTTATTCTTCAGGCAATAGTCCATCCCGTGGGTAAACGCCAGCAACAGGTAGTTCAAACTACAGGAGGACCAGTGGGTGGGCGCCACCGTCGAACTGCTCGGCGCCATGATGCAGCGGTCGTCCGGACACGTGCACTCGTTGGTGTCGTGCTCCATGCCGAAGTTGTGGCCCATTTCGTGGGCCACCGTCGTGGCCACGAGTCCCACGACCGGCGAGTGGTCGGTGTTCACCCCGCCGGAGTACTCGTAGGTGCAGATGGGGCCTTTGAGCGCTTTTCCGACGACCCCGTTTTCGAAATTGAATTTGCTGCAAATGGGAAAGTTAGGTGGGTGCGGTGCGGTGGGTAGATTGTTACGTCAGGAGTTGAGCGTTGTCGTTGGGGTGGTCCTTAACGAGTTTCTCGCGGCGGTAATGGAGGAAGTTGGTCAGGGTGGCGTCGCCGTTGCTGGAGAAGTTGATTTCGTCGTTTTCGGTCCAAATGACGACGCCTACTAAGGCTATGAATATGTTGAGCGGGGCGTAGAGCTGAAACGAAGAGGAGTCTTGCATTTATTGGACGGACAAAAATGCGCATTAGTTTCTTATAGAGAAAGGTATATTTATTGTTGGTTGAAGATCTCTCTGTAATAAATTGTTTGTTCCTTGACGATGGAATCTTTGCGTTGCTTGTTTGAACTTTACATGAATCATCTAATAATTCGAATGAAAGTAAATACCGTGAAATCACACGTCTAAGTAGTCAGGTATCGGTACACTTTTGTGTACCTTTTGGTTATTGAATTAAGAATACATACGTTGATTATGGATTTTGATATAAATTCGTTAATTTTGATATAGTGGCATCAAATCATTGACGTAACGATATCGTCAATCTAAATTCTGGTCTGTAAAAACCCATGTTTTTCTCGTGTTATATACATGCATATTCATATCGTTCTTAAAAATGACTTGATTAAAAAACAAAACCGCTTCCCACTGTAGGCAAAAATATAGTCTCTTTATATTTTTAAAGGACTGGAAAAAATGAGTCCTCCGAAAACGAATTATCCAGGCTTGTGCGTATTTACTCCGGGACATTTTATTGTTCCCCATTACGGTTTGCTTATCTCTTTTACTGCGTATACAATTCTTGTTGTGGTTAAATGAAACGTTATTTGGGAAAATTTATCTTCATTATAAAATACTAAACAATATTTGAGATAATTTTAACAGATCACTAACTCAACGAGCTAATAAACGCTAAAAATGAACTTATTTAGGAATTTCCAATGACATTTATGTGCTACTAGCATCTACACTCCGCTTTCCCCACTTGTATTTTTGACAGTTTCGATTTTGACATATATGTACATATAAATATTACAGTACAAAAAAAAAATTGTACGTACTTATTTGTACACCGTTTCAAGCAAATAAACTTCATCCCCTAATTCACACCCTTAGAGATGGAATTTTCACAAATCCTTTCTTATTGCTCACCCAGACCGTAACACAAATCTACTGTTCAAATTTAGTGTTTCTGGCTTGATGAGTTAGTCAAGTCAGTCAGGAGTTCTCCCTTTATTATATTAGTATAGATATGTGATTATCTCAACTTCTGGATGAAACTCTCTCAGTTCTTTCGAAGTGTTTCCTAACTAAATTTTGAAATAATGAGGTTTTTACGTCGAACAAGTTGATTAGTTTTCGCTCACATCAATTTTGTTGGGGTCAATATGGGAGTAAAACATGTCTAGAGAATTTAGGAAGGTCATCAATAAAAAATAAAAAAGTAAAAATAATTTTCGTTGAAAAAAATTGAAACTTCACCTGTAAAATCTGTTTTATTTGGCACCTTTTACTATAAGTGGTAACTTGCATTATCCATTATAATAACATTATTATGTGGCAGTGTTTACACAAAATTTTCTCTAAAACATCTTTCAAAGACGCTAGAACGCAGTCAGTTGTTACATTACCACTATTCTCTAGAGATCAAGATTATGTGTTCCTGAAACTGTATACAAAATAATTATTTTTTCCTTTTTTTAAATTGTTGTATCCACATTGAAAGCAACAGAATAATCCAATTGTTCGTGTTATCAAGCGTACTCAAAGTTTCGTCTAAATAAAAAAATAATTTGTCCTCATTCCTTTATTTTTTAAGCCTTGTAAATAATCATATCTCCATTTCCGTAACCTTGTTGACTTTAACACTAAAAGACGCTTATTCATGACACAATCAAATACTTTTTGTGAAATTTCCGCAGTGTTATCTTTCCACAAATCGTTCTTTGTTTATATTTTCTAATACCATTCTCCATACTTTCGAAATCCAATTTCCATTAGCAAAATTAAAAAAACAACTAACATTCCACTCTGTGTCCTCAAACAATTCGAATGTTGCGTTTTTCAATGATAATTTCGTGAAAACGAATAATCTTAAAGCATAATTAACCAAGTTCTTCAACTTGACTTTGGTCCTCCTTGGCCGTTCTGTTATCAAACGTGGGTTAACGTTCTCTTCTACACAATATTTTCAAAATTTTTGCATTTAAAAGTTGTTAGCATACTTGATACCAGGCGGCATTGATTTTATAGGAAACAGTCAAACAAATTTGGTGAAAGCATCAACTATTACGAAAATGTGGTTATAGATCTTGTTGTGTGCTTTCTACAGAACCTAAATAACCAACGTCTGAAGCGGCAGATTTTTATTTGTTTATTTATTTATTTATTTATTTATTTGACTTTAAAATTTGTTCAGGCGGGAGTTCTGACAACACTAATTACCTTTTTAATTTTTAAAATTGTACTTTTTCATAAATACTAATAATTTCTTTTTAAACTGTGTTGTCGTTGAATAAATTAATTTACTAATGGAGTGATCTTCAATACTATTGCTTATCGCAATAATGCTTTTTGTTGTAAATATTATAGCGCAAAAATTGACGGTGTGATCATAAAATTTTATTAAGTAAAACTCACTGAAAACAACGCATAGCATGTTTCTTTGATAATCTACACCGACTTTTGCTTTGGCCATGTTTTTCTGTTGGTCAATCTAATTTTCTCTCAATGTTTTTTCACGTATCCAAACCTCTTTTAATCGCATACAAAGTCTCACAAACCTTGTAGTAACCTTGGTACAAATATTTATCTTCCAAATCGTTTTAATCCGTGAGTTAAAATTGTTCTTCAAACTATTCGATCCTTTGTTCTATGGAATATTCTTTGTTATCGTTTAACATCTTAACTGTATTTCCGATTCGTCATCTTTATCGTCTTCCTCAATGCAGTTTTCGTCAACGCTATAATCTTCATTACCTTCACTGTCATTTTTATATTTCTCATCGTCATTTTTTCCGTCGTTTTCACCGTTTTGATTACAGTCGTCTTTTTGTACAACTTGATATCCAAAAGATGTTTAGCTCCTACAAACTTAAACTTTTCGGTCATTAACTCCTATCTACCGGATATGTGAAGTCTGCCTTTACGGATGTTTTTCATGTTCGCATGCAAAAATTGTTTATGAAGAAACTAGTGTCTACCGTCGTATTTAAATCATAAGGGAAATATTGCAAATTATGTACCTTGTGTGTCGCATATTTATTAGTATTTTGTCACTCTAGTAGTATCTGTGCATCTTTCAGCTAGCTATTCGTCATATTTTCGACTATCTGCCTTATCATTTCGTGGCTGTCTTCTGTCGGTTTTCCCCAGAAATGTGGCGTTTTTGCGAAATACACCAAAGCGCAAAGATAACACAATATTATTTGTTCAATTTGAGAAATTTTAATAAAACTTGTTGCAGTTTCCTTTTCCGTTTTCAGACGTGTTAAATTTACATCAAATAAGCTCTAAAAAATTGCTCGTGTCTTACAATTACCGGTTAGAATTGTTCGATAATGTTATTAGTTAAAAACGTATCTGAAATATTTAGAATGAATTGCTACTATGCAATTTTATTATTATGATTAACGTAACCTGAATTAACATATCAGTATCACATCCTGCAACTGACCTGATTAAATAAATATTAGTGAAACAGATTTAACAGTTAATTAGTGGCCACATACATAATTAAATTTATAATGCATTATTTGAAGCTTTCAGCTTCACGCTCTTTGGTTGAGTTACTTTATAATTTATTTTCACGAGTGCTCGACGTCAAAATTAAATTAATTTTCCATTTGCTTCAACATGAAAATTATACAGCATTATCATGTGTATTGTCGACGTTAATGGTGACATTGGTTAATGTTTAAATTGTGAATGGAATTTAAATTGTCGTAAAACCAAAAATAAAAGTTAACTATTTTGGTTTTTATTAATTTAAAATTTCGTAAGTGGAATGACACATAATCAAAATAACTAAACATGTAATCATCAGCAAATGAGGTAAAATAAATAAATACACAAATCAATTTTCAGTTAATAATAATAAATATAATGCCAATCAAATTTCAACACAGATAAAAACACACTTCCGGATTTGTTGAAAATATACAATAAATAATATACACAGTCTACGATAACACATTTTAATTTTCATAACTTTTCACAAATACATATATCATATGTTAGACTTGCACCAATCAATTATTTGCCAATTTGATAAAACTGGAAGGCAATCGTTGACCTCGAAGAAGATAACGAGAATCTATATATACACAAAAAAATGATGAAAATTATGGAAATGATGAAAAGCCGAAATAATCAAACAAAAATAATTTTACTTCTGACATTTTCGACCATTTTTCAACTAGAAGTCACTTTCGGCTTCCAAAATTCCTACCATTTTTCCAAAATCGCCAATTGAAATATAGCTAATTTTAAAGTTCCGTCAAAATCGCTAGATATCAAATTTTTGTATAACATACACTCTAAGAAAATAGAGGGTGGGCGGGCGGGGCTAGTATTTGATAAGATAAGACGATTTTGGCAGTTTTGAGATTTTCGACCATTTTTCAACTATTTTCGCAAATTAGTTGAAGACATTTTCTTGTAGATTTCATCCAGAAGTCATTTTGGGTTTCATTTCTTCGGAAATTGGTAGCCTTTTTTCAAATCGCTAATTGAAATATAGCAATTCTTACAGTTTTGTCAAAAAGCTCGCTATAAAAATTTTGTAGAAAAAAAGGAAATTATTATTAATTTTTGTTTCACAAAATATGGATAATCGTTTCAAGAATTTACTTTGAAATTTTAATATATATACATAAATGTTTAAAATTTGTTTATTTGGAACAATAAAGAAGTCAGGACAAGTCAAATCACGTTAAGTCAAATCAAGTCAGGTGCATGCAATAAGAAATAAATTTTATAGCAAATAGTATGGCAAAATACTTAAGTTACGATTCGCGCTTTTTTCACTATTTTCACATCTTAAGTATTTAGATTCTATTATTAGTTTCCAATCCCACTCGACAAAAGAACATAATTAGCCCCGACCACCCACCCTGTCTCCTTTTCAGTGATAGATTTTATCCGATCTGAATGAAATGAATGTTCTTATACTGAACAGAAATAAAATTAGTCGTTAAAATGAGAAGAGGGGGGTGGGTAGGACTAGTACTTAAAGACTGATATTGGCAAATGACATACCCTTTAAGAAAATAAAGGGCGGGTGGGCGGGGCTAGTACTTGCTAAGATAAGACTGAATTTGGCAAATGACACACACCATAAGAAAATAGAGGGTGAGTGGGCGGGGCTAATATTTGATAAGAGTGATTTTGGCAAATGGCATACCCTCTAAGAAAATAGAGGGTGGGAAGGGCGGGTGGGCGGGGCTAGTACTTGCCAAGATAAGACTGTATTTGGCAAATGACACACACCATTAGAAAATAGAGGGTGAGTGGGCGGGGCTAATATTTGATAAGAGTGATTTTGGCAAATGGCATACCCTCTAAGAAAATAGAGGGTGGGTGGGCGGGGCTAGTATTTGATAAGATAAGGCTGATTTTGGCATCCCACTCGACCGAAGAACATAATTAACCCCGCCCACCCACCCTGTCTCGTTTTCAGTGATTGATTTCATCCGATCTGAATGAAATGAATGTTCTCATACTGAACAGAAATAAAATCAATCGTTAAAATGAGAAGAGGGGGGTGGATGGGGCTAGTACTTAAGACTGATATTGGCAAATGACATACACTCTAAGAAAATAGAGTATGGTGGGTTGGGCTAGTATTTAATAAGATAAGAGTGATTTTGGCAATTTTGATATTTTCAACCATTTTTCAACTATTTACGAAAATTAGTTGAATACATTTTCTCATAGAATTCGACATCTAGAAGTCATTTTCGGCTTCGTTTTTTTTCGGTAATTCATACCGTTTTTCCAAAATCGCTAATTGAAAAATAGCATTTTTTTCAGTTTCGTCAAAAAACCCTGGCAATAAAAATTTTGTAGATAAAAAAGAAAATTATTATTAATTTTTGTTTCACAAAATACATATGTACAATTGCTTCAAGAATGTACTTCGAAGTTTTTATATATATACATATTTACAAAAATGCTTATCTTATCAAATACTAACCCCGCCCACCCACCCTCTATTTTCTTAGAGGGTATGTCATTTGCCAAAATCACTCTTACCTTACTAAACCAAGTACTAGCTCCGTCAACCCGCTCTCTATTTTCTTGGAAGGTATATCATTTTCCAAAATCAGTCTTATCTTACCCAGTACTATACGTACCCCCCTCCCCCCATTCTAACGACTAATTTTATTTCTGTTCAGTCTAAGATTATTCATTTCGTTCGGATCGGATGAAATCAATCACTAAAAAGAAAAGAGGGTGGGTGGGCGGGGTTAATTATGTTCTCTCGAGTGGGATGCCAAAATCAGTCTTATCTTATCAAAAACTAGAACCGCCCACCCACCCTGACTCCTTTTCGGTGAATGATTTTATCCGATCTGAATGAAATGAATGTTCTTTTATTGAACAGAAATAAAATTAGTCGTTAAAATAAGAAGAGGGAGGGGTGGGTGGGGCTAGGACTTAAGACTGATTTTGGCAAATGACATACCCTCTAAGAAAATAGAGTATGGTGGGTTGGGTTAGTATTTGATAACATAAGACTAATGTTGGCACTTTTGACATTTTCCACCATCTTTCAACTATTTTCGAAAATTAGTTGAAAATATTTTCTTGTAGATTTCGACATCCAGAAGTCATTTTTTCGGAAATTCGTACCGTTTTTCCAAAATCGATAATTGAAATATAGCAACTCTTGCATTTTTGTCAAAAGAGCTCGCTATAAAAATTTTGTAGATAAAAAAGGAAATTATTAATTTTTGATTCACAAAATACAATTGTTTCAAGAATGTACTTTGTAGTTTTTATATATTTACACAAATGTTTAAAATTTGTTTATTTGGGATTATAGAGAAGTCAGGACAGGTAAGGTCACCTTAAGTCAAGTCACGTCAGGTGCATGAAATGAGAAATAAATTTTATAGCAAATAAGATTACAAAATAAGTTACGATTAGCGCTTGTTTTACTTGTTTCAGATCCTAGTTTCTATTATTAGTTTCCACTCCCACTAGACAAAAGTTTTAATGTTTACTTGTCAAATAAAAAACGCAGACAAATTTCATTTGTTTTTTAATTTATATTGTTTTTTCCTTACATTATTCTTTGACTTTTTTAAGTTTAACGCATTTCCGCACGACAACCTGGTTACAGAAATAAGGAACCCCTGAAGAAAAATTCCTCCAAAGGTTAAGAGTGACAATTCTTGGAACGAAGCCCGAACTAAAACTGTAATCGTCGGAACCCCGTAATTCAAACAAATTAAGTTGTGCTATAATTACATTGTAGCACGCTGCATTCCAGGTTTCGCTTTACGGAATTGACAAACCCTAAAAATAAAAAACTTACCCCGTTTATTATGTTGGCAATAGTTTTGCAATGACGCTCCACTTTGCTCGTGCTCTCCCCTAACTCCTTATACTCCCGATTGTCGACCACTAAAACTAATTCTACGTATTTCGATTCTTTGTTCGCGTTGTAGGGTCCTCTAACCAGCTCGTTTTGCTCAGCGGCTCTCTTATACTGAAACGAAATAAAATTCCCAAATATCCCTACAAACTCCCCAAAACCTCCACTCACCCTAAGTATCCTATTATGACTATGCTTCTCCTTATCCTCGACCGTTTCGGGAAACCCGCAGGTTTTATTATTCTCCACCAGATCCGAATGTTTGTACAAAAAATGCTCGTCTCCCATCTTCTCGATATAATGCATCTCCTCCCCGTCAAAAATCACCCCCGATAATCCGTCGCACGTCGACAGAGCCACCCACGAGTCGGGTTTATTTCTGACTTTACCCCCGTAATGGCACAAATCAATTTCTCCGGGCCCAGGCTTGACGACCTTATGGCCGCCTTTTTCCTGAGTCTTCCGGAAAAATCCCTTCGGGATGAGCTGTTTATTGAGGGTTAGGTCCAGAGTGAGCTCTTCTCCGTCCACGGGGACGGTCACCGTGACGTAATCCAGGTGGTAGCTAGTTCCCTGTGAATAAAAGATAAGTGTTATTTGTGGCATTGGAGGTTGACTGTGGGGCCGCAAACCTACTAGATTGCCGAGATAAGGAAACAAATTATCGTGGATCGATAGATAGCAAGGGTTCGCGACGCTTAAACGAGCAAATATTAGTAAGAATAAAATAATAATTGGACATTTCTACAATTCTCATACTTCGATATGCGGAAAAGTAATTCGTATTAGACTGAAAAAAACATAAATGTGAAATCTGGCGATGATTTATTATTATGTGCAGATAGATCAAGTCCGAAGGGGTCTATGATCTTGATCTTCCGTCTTCCGTGCGCATTAAATACCAGATGGAACTTTCTTTTTATCGTGAAAATTGTAGGAGAAGTCTCCAATTCAATAAAGATAAAAAAGAAATTATATGAAGTAATTTGAAATTATAACATAAAATCACTTTCGGCAACTAAAGAATGAAGTTTAATTTCGTATGCAAATATTTAAAACACGTTAGAAGATATTCTAGAGCAAACAAAAAATAGTTCCTGTTAGATAAGAGGTGCTTAGTTTTGGAGCGTATTTTGTAAGCAATTAATTTCAGAAGCTTAAAATAATTACAAAAAAAAAAAAAAAATCGGAGCTTTTTTTTGGTCAAAATTAAAAAAATCACAGCGTGTTAAATTTGTTGGTCACAAAATATTGATTTTGAGATAAATTAAAAATATAACAACAACACTATTCGAAGAATGATTTGAAAATCAGATTTGATCAATAACATAATCTGCTTATTTAATATTTTTAGTCACCCTGTATATGCAATGCTAAAAAATATTAATGCATTGATAAACCACAAGTATGGACCCGTAATATTTTGAACATTTTATGTAGAATTTACTCAGCAACATAGGTAAATAGATAAATTTTGATTAATGATATACCATGCTTATAATAACCTTAAAACCTTTGCAAAATTTCATGGGTGTGGGTTTAGCAACAATTCAATGTGGTAAAAATTTAGGTTAACACCATAGTGTCACTTATTCGTCAAGTGAATGTTCAAGTTCATATTACATCTGTGCCTTGTATCGTTCTATTTTAAAACTTAATGCAGTGGTTAAAGCTTCAAAATTTTGACAAATCAAGTGTAGGCACATCCACTTTCGCGTAAAATGTTGCGCCTATATAATTTTGATTTTTTTTTTCTGAAATTTGGGTGCCTAAAGTAAAAAAAAATCGAAACGGATTCATAAACTATAAGTACAGAAGTGTGATTCATATTTTTTCTCCTAGAGATAATGACTAGATTTTTTTGTACTACCTATGATTTATAATGTGTATCTTGTATACAGGTAAGGTACCTAAATCTTTTTTTTTCAAGTTTGTATATCATCTTTAGTTTTTTTTTTGTGGCTCTGCATTGTTTCCACTACAACCCCTATATTTTCACTGCAGGTCCCTACGGATCATTTTACAATCGTCATCAGCTCTGTTATTGTACCGTCCAACCTCGCATAATCACATTATAAAATTTTAGTATACAAAAATAATGTTCCCAGTATATACTGCTGAATATCATTCAGAATCATGCGAATGCAATTAAGCCTAATTGTAGTCAATTACATCAACTCTAAGTTTTAATAGGGTCAACCACGCGTTTACAATCAAACATAACCTAACTTTCTATTTTACACTAAGTTAAATTTCTACTTGTAGGCTAAAAGTCACTTTTTGAGGCTGAAATCTACAAAAAATTTCTTTGGTTAACTTTTGAAACTGGAAGAGAAAACGTCAAAATTTTGAAAAATTTAATTTTTGAAAAAATTGTCGAAAAATTTACAAAAAATTCTGGGATATAGATCTCGACGTACTGATTCGAAAAATATACTGGGTACAAGATTTTAGAAATTTTCGGTTTGAACCCAATTTTTTTCAAAATTTCTAACAATTACCGGAGTTTCTGAAAAATGTGTAGGAGTTTTAGAAGAAATTAGGCTGCAAGAAACTTCTCGAGGATGAAATCCACTAAAGAAACTCTTTCAGTAATTTTTGAATTTTTTCGAAAAACGGTAAACATTTTCATATTGAAAAATTGAGCTTTTGAAAAAATTGTCGAAGAGTTCATAAAAGATTCTGGGATATAGATTTCAACGTATTGATTCGAAAAATACAGTGTGTTAATGGTCCAAGACCAAGATTTTGGCAATGTTTGGTTTCAAAGTTTTTTTTCCAAAATTCAAAAAATTACCCTAATTCATTAGGGAATTGAATGATCAAATTTTTGAAAAAATGAGGCTGAAAGTAACTTTTTGAGGCTGAAATTTACAAAAAAAGTCTTTGGGTAACTTTTGAATCTGGAAGAAAAATTGTCAAAATTTTCATGAAAAAGTTGTCGAAAAATTCACAAAAAATTCTGGGATATAGGTCTCGACGTACTGATTCGAAAAATATACTGGATTAAAAAGTCAAGTACACGATTTTAGAAATTTTAGGTTTGATTGAAACCAATTTTTTTTTAAATCCTGTGTCTAGGAGCCAGATTTTAGGAAATTTGAAATTCCTTTTTCAAAAATTCAGAAAATTACCCTAGGTAAATCATTGAGAGATTCTAAACAAATGGTAAGAATTTTTGAAAAAATGAGGTCGATAGTAATGTCGTATCCACAAAAAAAAATTTTGAATGTGGTTGAAAAAAGGTCAAAATTTTCATAGCAGACGAATATTGAAAAATTGAGCTTTTGGAAAAGTTGTCTAAAATTAAAAAAAAAATCTGGGATATAGATCTCGACGTACTGATTTCAAAAATATAGTGCATTAAGTGTCCAGTTACTTGATTTTAGAAATATTTGGTTTGAGATAATTTTTTTTTTGAAAATTACCCTAATTCATTCGGAGTTTCTAAAAAAACTATAAGAGTTTTTGAAGAAATGTGGCCGAAAGTAACTTATAGAAGTCAAAATTTACTAAAAAAACTCTATGGGTAATTTTTGAATGTGGTCGAAAAATAGTCAAAATTTTCATAAGATCAACTGAAAAATTGAGCTTTTCGAAAAGTTGTCTAAAAATTCACAAAAAATTTTCAGATATGAAAAAGTCAAAATTTTCATAAAGGGGGAATATTGAAAAATGGGACTTTTGTAAAAGTTGTCTAAAAGTTAATAAAAAAAATTCGGAGGTATAGATTTTTATGTACTGATTACAAAAATATAGTGTGTTGATCATCAAGGAGCAAGATTTCAGAAATTGTTGTGGAAAGACGACTACGTATATTAAGAAAAACAACGCCAAAATATAAACCCCGCCCACCCACCCTATCTCAATTGTGAAGATCTTTTTCTATTCGTCGTGAATCAGGGGGCGGATCTTAATTAGAAAATGTTTATTTCTCTACAAGAAATTACCATGTGAAAAAAGTTCTTAAGTCATTGTATTGTTCAAAGAAAACTATATGTATTATGTAAAAATGAGTGCAGAAGATTAAGTCCCACCTATAACGGCACCGATTTCAATTGTAAAAAATTGTTGATTTTTCATTCGTTGTCAGACTTCTAGGGGCGGAGAATAATTGCAAAATCCACAAAAGTGTACCATTTTAAACATGTTTCGAGTTTTTTGTTGTGAAAAGACGACTACATATATTAAGAAAAACAACGCCAAAATATAAATCAATAGATAATATCGCATAAAAAATTTCAACATTAAATTGATTTTAGAGCAATAAAATACATTTCTTTCTGTTTCATATTAATGACACATTTTTGTTATAAATACATTTTAAAAATAGAAACATGTTCTAAGCATTCTGACGTGTAACTTTGAAACCTATTATTTTCATGTCCACAAGAAAAATGACATATTACCTAGTACATGTGGTGTGAATACCAATACAACACTATATATCATGTCACTGCATCATATGGTCTGAAAATATCAAAGATATTAGATAATTTCTTCTACGAAAATCACGTCCCTTGACTTCAATATTTTTTTGAAATATCGTAATTAACTTTCAACAAATCAACAAATTATTTTAACAAAACTTAAGTCCGTTATGTATTTTCTGCGAGAAATTGTAAAATTTAATGGACCAAGTTTCGTTATCAAATTATTGCGGAGGATAATTAGACATAGTTTTACAATATACACCATATTCGTAAAATACCCGTATAACCGGACAATAATCAGTCTAGTAGTTTCCGAGATTCACTGTCTAATAAATATCGATACAGACGACAGACAAATGGAACGGAAGACCCATTTTTTTCATACTCTAAGGGTCATGAAACGTCGAGAAAGCATTAAAGGAGCTGGTCGTCGATGGACGTCGTTACAATACTTCCCTAGCTTAGGCTCCGGAAGTAGTAATTACTTAATATTTCGAGACGATTATCTAATAGACCAACATTAATTATAATTAGGGTAAGTTCACGATAAATTTGAAAAAAGTATTCTAATTGGTTCACTTAGTTTGAAAGGTCGCCTATTAAAAAAAAAAAACAAAAACAAATCTAGTAACCGCAGTGACTGTTTTTGCGGGTTTTACGAAGTATTATATAAAATTAGAAAATCGTTAAAATGACCCCAATACAAAACAATGACAATTTTTTTCTTATCTAGCGAAGGAATGAAAATAAAACAGATTTATACTACTGTAGATCCACTATATACCGGGTGTCTGGAGAATGGCGGATTAACTCTTCAGGACGTTATATACGGGGGTTTCGGGAGTCCCAAAAAAATAATAAAAACAATTCTTCATGCTGTAGATTACGAAAAAAACGTACTTTTATAAAAGTAAAATTGGCAACACTGCACGGACCTGATGCGTGATACCTCCGGCTTACTTTCTTATTTCTTAGTACCGATGGTGACTGAAATCCACCTTTTTTTTTAGGACAATAACCATAACGACCAGAAGTCATTAATCGTTATGCATTATTAATAAAACAAGCTGTTATTTTTCATTAATTAATATAAACAAAAAAAAAAAACATTTAATAAGACTTTTATAAATTACAAACAAAAACAAAATCAATAAAAGAAAAATCCATTAAAGCATAACCAACTAAACACTACAGAAGATGTTCAAAATTCCTGCCGTTTTTTGTAAAAGTGAATCATCAGTATTTACTAAGGTAAAACTGATTTTGGCAATGACATACCCCATTAGAAAAGAGAGGGAGGGAGGGTGGGTGGGTGAAGCTAGTAGCTGCCAAGATAAGACTGATTTTGGCAAATGAGATGAGAGGGCGGGTAGGCGGGGCTAGTATCTCCTAAGATAAGACTGATTTTGACTAATGAGACACCTTTTAAGAAAAGAGAAGGTGGGTGAGCGGGCGGGGCTAGTACCTGTTAGGATAAGATTGCTTTTAGCAAATAAGATCCTTAGAGGGTATCTCGTTTGCCAAAGTCAGTCTTATCCGAACAGGTACTAACCCCGCCCACCCACCTTCTCTTTTCTTAGAGGGTATGTCATGTGCCAAAATTAATTTTATCTTAGCAGCTACTAGATAGGATAAGACTGGTTTTGGCAAATCACATACCCTCTAAGAAAAGAGAGGGTGGGTGGGCGGGGTTAGTACCTGTTCGGATAAGACTGACTTTGGCAAACGAGATACCCTCTAAGGAAAGACAAGGCGGGTGGGTGGGGCTATTACCTGTTAGGACTGATTTTGGCAAATGACATATGCTCTAAGAAAATAGAGGGCGAGTAGCTGGAGCTAGTACCTGTTAAGATACGACTGATTTTAACAAATCACGTATCCTCTAGAAAATGGAATTAACTTATAAGAAGAAAAGACACCAGAGACACCAAAACACTGTCAAATTCTTTCCAAACAGGAATACCTAGGACCTCAAGATCGTTTTAAATTTTCGAAAAAAAAAAAACGGGGCCCCAAAATTAACTCAAAAACAAGTCAGGCCAGAACTTTCCAAGAACAGAACACCAAAGTCCCCCAAAATTGTTTTAAAGAATTTACAAAAAAAATCTCCACGGGCTAATAAAAATTAAAACACAAATATTGAGGCACGAATCCAAGTTTATAGGACGAGCAGCGAAGCCGCGAGTTATATAAAGGATGAGTGCCACAATGGCCTTATGAACGAGTAATTTATACTATTTTTTCTACCGAGCACGTTTTTTTGCAAAATTTAATTGAAATTTGCATTTTTTTAAATCGGGGGAATTTTGTCGTGGTTGGTGATGGGTTGGTCTGACACTAACCACGAAATATTTGAGGTTCGAATTTTCACAACAACAACTGTAATTCGTATCAATGCGAATTTTTTAAGTCAAAATTGGTTAAAATCTCTTGTGAAGAAGTTAATAAAGTCCTTACGCCTCCGGAAATACGAGAAATTTTAATTTGACATTTGCCACTGACATTCACCTGACATTTCTCGTCATGGCTACCAATCTTACCGATCTAAATTACACCAGATCTATTTCAGAAAAACATATTTATTTTTTATAATTTATTAAAAGTTATCCGAAAATACCCAGGGGATCTAAAATTAACTGCGAACATTTTAAACTTAGGGTTTTGAAAACTTTGACAATTTTTGATACGTCAAACATTTTTAACTGCTTACTCGATTTTTGTTGATTTGTACCTTCGCTTTATATCAGGCAAACAATGTTGCCATACGGAATTTTATCAAATTATTATGAAAACAACACAACCATATCTTTGTACATTATAACTGAAATGGTAATTAAACATGGTCATGGGTGAGAGAATTATTAACGAAAAGTTTTATTACTAGTTATTGTGATAATGAATGTGTGTAAGGAATTTGTTTACTATTTTCCCAGATTCACCAGTTGATTGTTAAGAGCGTAGCGGAGAGTTAATCCGCCATTTTCCAGACACCCGGTATACTGCCTACTTTACTGTTACTAAATATAAATTAATTTAAACATTAATTGTTTTACTAGAGATCTTAAAATTAAACATTTTGAATGAAGGCAAAATGAAACAGTGTTATTGGATGTTGTCCTAAACGACCCTAAAGACATTTCCTCCACAGAAAATTTAAAAAACTTTAATTTCAATGTTTAATTCTTGGTGATTAATAATAACACCAATTTTTCGGTGGCGTATCAAATGAATGTCGTAAGTTGGAATCAGAAAAACTGTTCAGCCAATGTCAACTGAAAACAAAAGAAAAACGGAAAGCAAAGAAATGTATAAAGAAATTAATTGAAAACGACACCATTTACATAATTGTTTTGCAGTCTGGATACACGAAAAGATAAATTTAGATTTCCATACATACATTATTCAAGTTTTTCCAGTTTAAAATCATTTCTGAATTATACCGTCGACGACAATCAAATTTGTTTTCAAAACAAATGGTGAAAATATTTTACTGAAATAGAAATCCAATCAAAGTGATGGATTTTTAGTTGTGTGCGAAAATAACCAATTAAAGTGACATTAGACTAATAGCTTCTATGGGTATTTATCGGAATGTTCGATTTCTTGATAAAGAAAAGTTTAAAAATTCATTAATATTTTTTAACTTTCGCGATTTGCTGATAGTACTAATGACTCAGGAGACACAAGTATGTACGCATAAGGATCACATTGTGGAAAAACTGATGTAAATTGTAAATGATTAGGCCATGAGCACAAGGTAAAATTATTGTACTGAAAGTACTGTTAGAACAATGGGGAATATTATAAACAAATATAAGAAAACTGCTGCGATGCATATTCGCAACATTCGTTCAGTTGTATTTGTTTTCAACTGTAAAAACATGTCGAGAGAATAATCAGTACGTTTCTCTCGATAATAATAACCCTTCGTTTTTAGTGTCGATTTATAACAAAGTAACTTGCTTTCTAAAACTCCAATTATATTTTATTATTTAAACAACGCTTCGACTTAAAAAAAATAAGAAACCGCTCCTAAGATTGAAACAATGTGTTCAGCTTTGACCAACTTAGGAGCTACCTTCACTACTTAATTTTCTTATGAAATTACGTAAAGAATTCAATTTGAACGCTTTTGCGATAAGAACTGTAAACACAATTGTGTTTGTAAACTGAGTGTAAAAGTCAATGTTAAATTACAATAAAATCTGAAATTACGAACATTGTAAAGTAACAAAAAGTAACTGAATAATTTTTTTAATTTTGAAATTTACACAGTGGTAGGTTTGAAGATTAACTAGAAATAAAGCAACCTACATACTCACTTACGCTTTATCGACAGAAAAATTAATAGTGTTCAGGTAATTATTTTTGTGTTTCAAGTCAAACTTGAAAATGTTTCTTTGAAATTGTTACTGTTGTTTTTGCTCAAAGCAATATTCCTTCTTACTTTGTTATTTACAACGAAACAAAAACGTAGCAAAAATTGTCCAGCGTGTACATTTTATGTTGCAGTGTACCTTGAGACATTTTTTTCATTGCGATGTATCAGAAAACCTCCCACAGTTGAAAACCTGTAAATTCGTAATACATGTTTTCACGTTCTTGTTATTTAATGGCCATATAAACTTTAAATTAACGATCTTCAGTCAATTCTCCTGAGTCTGGTAAGAGGTTTATAATTTGAATTCTATTGTCAAGGGACCACACCATGACGTCACGAAAAATTATCGCGTACTGTTTGTTTAATTATATACCTTTTTTATTTCAATCGATACTGAAGTTTAACATTTATGACATGTTTGCATGACACGAATATTTCTAATTACATGGTAGCTCTTGGGCAAAATAGCAGCTAAAAATGTTATTTCATTACGTCTTGCAATTAATCAAATGCTTACCGTTAGCAAGCTACAATTTACACTTTCATAATTAATTGTGTTCTTTACTGGCAATTTCAAAGGTTTGGCAACTACTAAAAATAATAAAACAGTTAGTTTATTTAGGACACTTGACTTGTTTATTATTTACAACAAACATTTTTATTAATTTTAAGAAACGAAAACCGTAAGCGATCAGTCGGAGAGACTTCTTCGGACGACTTTCTGGGATTAAAGCTAGATCGATTTTTAATTTACATAATGGCTTCTGGTTTCTGGTGACAAGAAACTGGGACGTGATAGCAGATAAAGCCCTGGGATTTACTGTTTTACTTTCTGCGAAGATTTCGTTTTGATATCGCCACTTTGAAAAGAGGCGCACAATTTTCTACACAATTTAATTAAGTTGGTTAAATAATTACTCGATTTGGCGTTAAAATGGAGATAAATTTTGATGTTTTCTCGATCTCACACCACTGTCATCTCTAAATTGTCAACGCGTGAAATATTAAATGTAGGATAGTTTTCACCTTTCCCTACTTCACCTTCTCTACTCGTTAACGCATATGGACAGCATGAGATTACAATCAACGTGTATTGATTAATTAGAAATTAATTTCATCGTTCAATGTTCACGATGACCGTTCAGATATGCTTGAGGGAACGATTTAACGGTTGAACTGTTAATTTTTCAAGGTAAACAGTTAACTGACATTTTGTCTAGTGGGTAAAAAACGAACCGCTTGTTCAAATTTATGATTCGTAATTCAGTCATTATCGCTGACAATTACTTTAACTGTTTTGCGAGTTTGTAATCTACCTGGAACCGAAATTCTATTTTATCGCTAACTTGCCTAAACAATACCAAATTTCTGCCTGGAACCGTTTATAAATGAGTGCATTTAAAAATATAACGCTTCTAGTAAAATGTGCGTTAAAGTGGGATTTATCTCGGGCCAGTGGGCGCAAGATTCGTTCCGTCACTTAACGAATTTATTAGCGCAATTGGGTTAAGTGTTAAATTGACTTTTCTGGCGAAAAACGAAATTAGGTTTGTTTACCTCATCTTTGCTCGTCGATATTTGCCTCTTCTCTCTTCCATGGTATATCCTTGGCTTGACAAGTGTGTGGCGGCTGAAGTCTCTGGCAGGATGTTGTTCAGCTGGAACAGAATTTCACGATAAGAAATTGGAGATGTTGCTAAGTTTTTTGTCAACACAATTTAATGTCACGCCGAGAGACGAGGGCTAATTCGACTCGGAATTAACTTGCTTGGCGACAGCACTCGGACATTTCAATTTTGCTCCATTTACCTGTATTTCACTCTGCGTTACGAAATTCACGCTTTCGCTTCTATCGCTGTTACAATTTCTAAAAAGCGCCAATTTCTCGCTGCCGGTCAAAATGTGCCATTTATAACGATAGGTCACAGACAGTTAATTAAATGTGGTGCGTGGAGAGGCTATTTGTCGCTATTCAAGTGAAACTCGAGAAAAATTGGCGGCGATTACAGCGACGGACATGAGTAGTTTTATTAGATGAAAAAAGAAGATCGAGCGATTACATTTTTTCTAGTCTGGAAATAAATCGGTGCATTTGGAAGGCGTCCAAACGAACAAGGAAACAAGAAAAATGCAGACGGGTACGAAATTAGCATCTCTGCAGGGGAGATTCGGAATTCTGCGCGGCTGGATACGAGGATTTTAGCAGTTTCAGACCTCGTTGACTAAAAACAATAATAGACGAGGACCGTGACCTGAGTATATTTGGAGCTGAACTAATTCACACAAAAATGCAACATCGGCTTGGAAATACCGAGACAAGTTCAGTTATTTGCCACTTAAAAAACAGTAGTCATTTTGTATCCAATTTCCTGATACAGTAAGCTTTACGATGCGATATTGAAAATACAACGGATACAACGGAAAAGACCCTGAGAAGGTATCGTTCAAACACAATCAGACCTGTTGAAATTCAAAAGTTAAAAATATAAGTAAAATTGACTATACCTTTGACTAGGATTGACAACCGCGTCAGTCGTTTTGCAGTCAGCTCAACAAATAAATCAAAACCTCGACCAAACTGATACAATATCGTGGTTATAAACATGTTTGGATATGATTTATTTTTTTCTTTATGGCCAATATCCGTTCTATTGCCCCCATTTGTACCGTTCAATGCAATATCAGTACGGTTTAAAGCAAAAAATATGGAAATTCTACATCAAGCAATAAAACAAAATCGCACTCTTAAACTTTAAGTTTGACTGTAAACTTGTATGTATTACATAGGACCTATGCTTTTTGTACCATCCTAAGCTACACCCATTTTGTTTTGTTTATAATGTTTACTAGGATGCTTTTAATTCATGTTTTGTTCCATCTGTTCTTAAAATAAAAATTGGTCTAGGGTATTAGACAGAATTTCAACCACAGCTTCTTCATCATAAATATTATAAAATTTGATCTTGAGAATTTTATTTTTATAATAACCCCTACAAGTTAAAAAAATCAAGGCGAATTCATAAACCACCAGTTCGAAGTACATATGTTATTTGATAACATTTAAATGGCATTTACTATCCAAAATCTGTATGTAACGCCACTTGCTAAGATAGATTGATTTTGGCAGATGACATACACTCTAAGAAAATAAAGGGCGGGTGGGCGGGGCTGGCACCTGCTAAGATAATACTGATTTTGGCAGATGACTTACATTCTAAGACAATTAAGGGTGGGTGGGTGGGGCTAGTATGTACTTGCTAAGATAGACTTATTTTGGCAAATGATATATCCTCTAAGAAAACAAAGGGTGGACAAGTGGGGCTAACACTAACCAGGATATATCATTTGCAAAAATCAGTCTATCTAAGCAAGTGCTAGTAGCGCCCACTCGACCTTTATTTTCTTAGAGGATGTCATTTGCCAAAATCAGTTTTATCTTAGCAAGTTGTAGCCCCGCCCACCCGCCCTTTATTTTCTAAGAAGATATATCATTTGTCAAAATTAGTCTTATCTTGGCAAGTACTTTTTTGGCAGTTTAGTCTCATACAAATGATTAAGAAATAATTTCAGGGAAGCTGTTTAGGTCTGTTGTAATAATAGATCTCTAGACTTATTATTTAAAAAAAAATAACCTGTGAAATGCGAGCACAGAGAGCAGACTCAAGTCCCTGGGGTGTCTCCAACTTTAATCTTCATTCAAATTTCAAGATTCACCTTTTTCAGACAATGAAAAACGCTATCATTAATACTAATTTAAATTCCCAGGGACACCGACCAATAATAATAGTGAGAATGAATACACAAATTTTTCGGAATCGAAGACCATTCGAGAGAATCCGAAAAAATCCGAAAATAATTGAAAGAATATATGAAAATCCGAGACAATACGAGAAATCACGAGAGAGTCTGACTAAATTTCGGGAGGGTCGAAGAGATACGGAAAAATCCGAAAGAAACCCATAGAATATGAGAGAATCAGGGAGAATGTGAAATAATCCGAAAGAATCCGATTCAATCTGATAGAAACTGAAAGAATCAGAGAAAATCTAACAGAAGGAAGATAAAGAACCCAAAAATATAGAAAAATCCAAAGAATCTAAGGAATTTCGAAAGGAATTTGAAACAATTAGAGAGAATCGGAAAGAATCCTAAAATAAGCGAAAGAATATTAGAGAATCTGAAAGAATCCGTGAAATCAGGAGAGAATCTGGCTAAATTCCGACAGGATCGGAGAGATTCGGAAGAATGCGAAAAAAAATCCAGAGAATATGGGAGAATCTGAGAGAATGTGAAAAAATTACATAGAAACCGAAAGAATCTGAGAAAATCCAACACAAGAAATGTAAGGAACTCGAAAAACATCAAAAACCGAAAGAATTTCGAATGAATCGAAGACCATTTGAGAGAATCCGAAAGAATTCGAGAATAAGCGAAAGAATATGAGAAAATCCGAAACAATATGAGAAATCACCAGTGTCGAAGATACGGAAAAATCCGGAAGAAACTCAAAGAATATCGTAGAATCTGAGAGAATGTGAAAAAATCCAGAAGAACCTGAAAGAATCCGAGAGAAACCGAGACAATTACATAGAAACCGAAAGAATCAGAGAAAATCCAACACACAAAATATAAAGAACTCGAAAAACATCAAAAAGCGAAAGAATTTCGAATGAATCGAAGACCATTTGAGAGAATCCGAAAGAATTCGAGAATAAGCGAAAGAATATGAGAAAATCCGAAACAATATGAGAAATCACCAGGGTCAAAGAGACACGGAAAAATCCGGAAGATACTCAAAGGATGTCGTAGAATATGAGAGAATGTGAAAAAATCCAGAAGAACCTGAAAGAACCCGAGAGAAATCGAAATAAGTATATAGAAACCGAAAGAATTAGAGAAAATCCAACACAAGGAACATAAAGAACTCGAAATAATTTGGAAAAAATCCGCAAAAATCCGAAAATAAGCGGAAGAATATGAGAAAAACCGAAACAACGTGAGAAGTCACGAGGGTCGCAGAGGCACGGAAAAATCCGGAAGAAACCCAAAAAATATGAGGGAATTTGAGAGAATGTGACAGAATCCGAAAGGATCTGAAAGTATCCAAGAGAACTAAAGAAAATCTAACAGAAGGAAGATAAAGAACTCATAAAGCACAAAAAATCCAAAGAACTAAAAGAATTTCGAAAGTAATCTGAAACAATTAGAGAGAATCGGAAAGAATAGGAAAATAAGCGAGAGATATGAGAGAATCTGAAAGAATTCGGGAAATCAGGAGAGAATCTGGCTAAATTCAGACAGGATCGGAGAGATTCGGAAGAATGCGAAAGAAATCCAGAGAATATGAGAGTCTGAGAGAATGAAAAGAATCCGAGAGACTCCCAGATTATCTGATAGAAACGAAAGAATCTGAGGAATTCGAGAAAACCGATAAAAATCTGGACAATCCGAGAGAAAACAAGTAATCTAGGAACTAAGGAACCTAAAGAACAGCAAGAATACAAAGAATTCATAAAACGCTAAAAATGGGAAAGAATTTCGAAGGAATCGGAGAAAATAATTGAAAGAATATGAGAAAATCCGAGACAAGACGCGAAATCACGAGAGAGTCCGACTAAATTTCGGGAGGGTCGAAGAGATACGGAAAAATCCGCAAGAAACCCAGAGAATTTCAGAGAATCTGAGAGAATGTGAAAGAATCCGAAAAAATCTGAAGGAATCCAAGAGAATCCGAGACAATCTGTGTAAAATTCCTAAAACACAAATAAAACTTAACAAGAATCGGTCCAGCAATCTGTCTAATAAAATCGACACAGACGGAAACGGGCGACCTAATTTTTCCTACTCTAAGGGCCATGAAATAACGAGAAAACATGAAAGTAGCCGTTCGCCATATTACAATACTGCATTTAAAAGGGTCGTAATATAAAATATTTTTACGTAACCCTCGTTTTTTTTTTTAAGTCCTGAATATACGAGTTAAACAGAATAAAAAGGGAATTTATTTTTGAAAATTTTATATTTTTACTTTTAGCTCAATCAACTTTTTACTTCCTGAGCGTAAGCTACGAAAGTATTGTAATCGAGTCCATTGGACAACTAGCTACTTTAATGTTTTTTCGACGTTTCATGACTCCTAGAGTACGAAAAATAGGTTTTACGTTTCCCCTGTCTGTCTGCCGTCTGTCTGGATTTTTATTACACAGGTAATCTCTGAAATTACTAGGATCATCATGTAGATGGCAAAACGCTAATCAAAATTTGAATAATCATCCCCACCAACAATAGAATGACGTCATCTCCAAAATTTACATTACTAAATATTACTTAAATATTTGGTAAAAAGAAAAAAATATATAACAATAATTTTCAATTTTTAACTTTAAAACTGCAAAAACCGAATGCAGTTAAATCTTGCAAATTGTTATTCTTGGAAACATGATAAATCGTTAATCAAAATTTGTCTGTCATCTGACAATTTTGTCGAATAAATGTTCCTCAAATTTATTAGTGTTTTTGGAAAAAACTGAGTGTGATTAATTAATTAATCAGTCCTCTCCTGTACGTAGAAGAGACAAAAACAATCAAATTTCATTTTCTTTTAATCGCTAATGCTTGTAATCTAAACGTGTTAATTACTCGAATTTTTCCGAAGTAT